TGTCAGGGTAGGGGTGTTGTGTCGGGGTCGGGGTGCTTTGTCGGGGTCGGGGTGCTGTGTCGGGGTTGGGGGTGCCGTGTTGGGGTGTCGGGGGTGTCGTGTCGGCATCGAGCTCATTCTTATAGCCCTGCCCGCAGTCTTAGCCCAGGCCATCGACCCCATGGCGCAACTCATGGAGACCGCGTATATCGGCATATTAGGTCTTTCCACGTATCTCCGCACTGTGCATCCCACTGCATATTGCCGAGCTGCACGTGCTCCTTCCTGGAATGCGATGAACGATATCGAATGATGGATGCACTTGTGACCAAGAAAGGGCTGAGGTTCGCTGGAAATCCAATATAAATTCACCACTACTCCCGTTGTTCGCAGCACAGATAGCCACACAAGTAAACAGCTGAGCCACCTAGCTCAATGACTGCTCCATTCATTTCTGCTTCTATTCCTATCTTCACACTCGTACTACTCTTAGCCTTCTCGGCCTTCTCTCCTACTCCGACTAGCGGCAGCGTGAGCCACACCGACCTTGCTGCGCTGCAGGCTTTTAAAGCCCAGCTCGGTGTTCCTCTCCGCATCCTTGCCCGCAACTGGACCCCTAGCACATCTTTCTGCCATTGGGTTGGTGTCTCGTGCAGCCGGTATAGGAAACGCGTTACCGCTCTTGGTAGGCTACATCTGCTTATATCCGTCTTTTAAGAAATAGCTTCTCGAATGCTATACCTACTTCCCTAGGGAACCTCACAAGGCTCAAGTGCATTGGTCTATCTCTGAACCAACTATCGGGCCAGATACCTTTTGAGATGTTGTTGCATATGCACAACCTTAAGGTGACTGCTCTAGCCACAAATTACTTGACTGGTCAAATTTCACCGTATTTGTTCAATAACATGCCTTCTCTGATGGCCATCAATTTTGAAAATAATAGTCTGTCATGTCCTATACCACACACCATTGCATCTCTATCCATGCTTCGGTTCTTCAGCCTAAAAATTAATCAATTCTCTGGCCTAGTGCCACAAGCCATTTACAACATGTCTAGCCTACAAAGCATGATACTCACAGGAAAGAAAAACAGAAAAACCAGGAGAAGCGGGTGGTAGGGGCTCACCGTGGGGGCGGTGACGAGTCGAGGAGGGCGTGGCGACGGGGCGGGAGGGGGCAACAACGGGCGGCGCTCC